GAGCGTCGTCTGTACCACGGCAACGCCACGGGGCCCACCTAGGGCGTGAGTCCTGCTTGATCCCGAGTCGGGGCGTTGCTACGGCAGAACGGGCGGAGCCGCTGGGGGCCGAGGCGGGGCCCGGCCGAGGGGAGGGGGCAGGACTGATGGGCGGGTGGACTGGGCCGGGATGTGGGCGGGGCCGAGACGGGGGCGGGGCTGCGGCGACGTCTCCTGCGGGCTGCGCCGGGTACAGGCCGCGCCGGGTACAGGCCGGGGCGAGGCTGGCGCCGAGGGCGGGGCCACGCGGCGTGGGGCGCAGACACCTTCACCTGCTGGACACGCGGGCCTCCGCATGGGCTCCGCTGCTTCCCCTCGCGCCGGACGCGCACAGGGTCAGCGTGCGGGCTGCGGAAGGGCAAGCCAGAGGACTGACCCCAGGCCCACACGGCTGGCCAGGTGGGTTACTTGAGCCGCAGATCCGGCAGGCCCGCCCGACGGATGGGTCCCAGCGACTCCAGCCAGTGCAGCCACCTTGCCTGTCAGGGCTTCACTCTCTGATGAGGGCACTGGGGGGCCATATGCAGACCGAAACCAGCTTCCACACCTGCTCGCTTGCCACAGATCAGGCCTGGCCCCAAGGCCCCTACAGCCCCCTGGCCCGGGAAAGACCACCACGGGGGCTCTGGGAAGTTCAGAAGCCTCCAGTGTGCAACCCCCCAGCACCCTGAGTTCCCCTCTCCAGGGACACAAGCAAAACCCACATTCCTCCCTTGGACAAGACTGAAGCCCCCTTACAGACGATCATGTTCTCTCCAGGATGGGCGGCCTGTATGCGACCCCCCGGGAAAGGGAGGGCCTTTCCCTCACCCCTGAGAGCACAGAGGTCTGCAAGGTGGGATTCCCTGCCTGGCCCTTCTCGCCGGGTGCCCACAGCGCTGCAGCCACACCGGGCCACAAGTGGCCAAAGGCAGCTGGGCCCTCTCCATCGCTGCCCAGGAGTCCACTGCCCACACTGCTGGGCATTTGGGCCATGTCGGAAGAGCAACAGGTATTTTTGTGGGCAAATATTTGCTCTTTTGAAAAGATTTGAATGCAAAGGGATGAAGGATACACTTTTTCTGTTGCTCTGGACCCAAACTGAAGCCAAAGCAGGTTTTAGAGAGAGAGTCACGAAACACCCGGCAACCAAAGATCAACGCTCCCCAGCAAGGGCTACAAGACCAGGGCGGCCCCCGCCCCTCCCACTGGACGTTGGGAGCTGGAGCTCCAGCTGGGACAGAGCTGCCGGAAGACCTGTGACCTCCAGTGCAGGCCCTGGCCCTGCTGCAGAACCCTGGGGCCAGCATGGTGACTGCCCTGCTGTTTATTCGCGAGGGTCTAGGGGCCCTCTTTGGCCCCGCCACCATTGTTTCTTCTGGAAACACCCCCTAGTGGAAGAGTCCTGGGGACAGGAGAGCCCCGCGGGGCGCCTTGGGGCTCCTGGTGCCAGGCATACTGCTGCCCAGTTCGTTATCTGAGGGAGGGGCACCTCCTCTCCATGGGCCCCCCTCTCTCCCCTCCTCTCTCCTCCTGTATCTCCTGGTTGATCCCTGGATTATGATCTTTACCAGGAATGACCCAGGAGAGGTTTTATGAGTCTTTAAGAGAAAAAAAGAAAAATCTTTAGACAAATAATTGAAAGTAGGTTCTTTCTTCTGCCTGCACCATACTCTTTCCAGTGGTTAAGGTTTGTTAACTGGGTGTCAAGTTTCTGAAGCCCTCACCTCTGAGAAAGTGCTTCCTTTCACTCCATCCCCAGGTGCGTCCACCTTCCACCGGCAGCCTGTACGCCCACAGCGTCTTGGCCACAAGAGGGCAAGAGAGTCCTTCCCCAAGGCTGTCGGAGGGCGTGGAGGCAGTTAGAGGAAGGGCCCCGCCCTGAGGCTCCTGGGAGCCTCCAGACACAGGAAGGAGCCGGTTTGGAGCTGGGCCCAGCAGGGGAGCCAGGTGAGTCCATCTGGCCCAAGTCTTCCCTGCCCAGCGAACCCAAGAGCTACTCCAGGCCCCATGGCCCAGTCAGTGGACCGCAAAGAGGAGGCCAGGATCCACACCTGAGGTGGGAGAAGGAAGGCCCTTGGTGTGGGGTCCAGGCAAGTGTGTCCTGTGAGTTCTGGGGCCACACCTGATCAAGCCGGTGCTTCGACCCCTGCTGGGACCCAGGGCCTCATCTCCCCAGGTCTCAGAAGGGTCAGCCCTGGGCACCCTGGGTCCCGGCACTGGTGGGGAAGACACAAGAGCAACTCCAAGCTAGGAATCTCCAAAGGGGGTTGGAGAGATTCTTCTGGAAACCAGATTCCAGGGTGAGTCCCTGCCCAGAGCTGGGGACCCTGCTCCGAGCAGATGGCCGTGGTCGGGGGAGGTCCCTTTTCAGAGAAGGGAGCAGATGGTGCTTTGGGGGGAGCCCAGTGCCCTGCACCGCCCCCAGCTTTGTCTAGTCGTGTCCACAGTTTGACCACGTTCACAAACACCCCCAGACCACCTGGGGGCAGCCCAGGGGTGGGGGCAGAAGGTGACAGGGGAAGGGCAGCCTCAGGGCTGCCTGGCCCTGCACCGGGTAGGGGCGCTGAGGGTCAGTGAGAACAAGGCGGGGCCGGGCGCCGGGAGCAGGATAGGCAGCCAGTGACGAGAACATGCCAAGGTTGCAATAACGTGAACCTGGATGCAGGACACGGGCAGCCTCCTCCCACGGAGGAGACTGGATGTTTAGGCCCCACCCCTGAGAAGCCTGAGGCTTGGTGAGGGTCCCGGGATCCCGAGGAGCAGCTCTCCTGGGGTCGCAGACACCCCAATACACACATTTCTCACCGATGCTTTCCAGGGCACAGAGTGAGTTACCAGATCCACGTGTTACGAGCTTCGGGACTTAGTGTGGAATCCTGCCCACCTTGCTCATCACGATTCCTGGAAACAAAGTCCTGGCATTTGTCCCTGGACGGGCACAGGGCAGCTGGCCGCTGTTGGAGTCAGTTCTGGGCAGGGAGCTTCTGGGTTGGGCCCTGTGGCCATAGGCCATGTGCCAGAAGCATTTCTTAACAGAAGCACCTGGGGGTCGCCTGCCAGGACCTCCCTAGTGGGACAGCCGAGGTGCCCGCGTGACCCAGGCCACCAGGTGACCAAGCTGTGAGGCTGCCGGGGGTTTCCTGGGGGTGTGTGGATTCCTGTGGTCAGCACGTGGGCCCAGCATCCCTGGGTGGCCTGCCCACAGAGGGGCCTGCCCTCCAGGGTGGCGGCTCACAGCACGTGCAGGAAGGGTGCCCTGGGGCTTGCCTGGGGTCCACAGTGAGAGCGTGACGAGGTGCTGTCCCGCTGGCCACTCTGCAGGGATGCTGCAGCCTCAGAAGCCCCCTGGCTGGGGGCTAGAAAGAACCAGGTGTTGTGGAATAGCTGGTGTTATTGGACAGTTGATCAGGAAATATCTTTTCCTGAGATCAGCTGACATCTGCCCTGTTTCGCTTGTGCTCTCGGTCCGGCCTGGATTGCATATTCTTCCAGCTGAGTTCCCCACCTGGCCTTTCCGTGGGATGGAAGGGCCTCTCCTTCCTGGGGTGCAGTTGGGGGAAGCTAGACCCAGCGTGAAAGTCAGCCTGTCACGTCCCCCAAAAACAGAGGCTGCGCCATGTCAGTTCATGGAAACAAAAATTGGTCACCCCCAACACAGGTGACTCAGAAAGTTATTTAGTCACGTTCTGGGTCCCCAGTTCTGGCTCTGGATGCCGGATCCCTGTTCATGCCTCAGGAGTGGGTTTTCTGCTGGGGGGCAGGACCCCGAAAACATCTGTGTCTGCATGGGACCCTCCCTTCCGGCCCAGCTGGGAGGTGGGCTGCAGCGGTGGGAAACCGTGTCTCCCCCAAGCAGAGGGCTACCAGGTGGTGGGGGCCAGGGGACTGGGAGAATTTGTCCTACAGCCTTTCTGGGATAAAAACACCGGCAAATGTCAAAAAGTGCGTAATTTGTTTTATCTAACAGGCTGCTTATTTACGTTGGGAGGGCGGGGTTCTCTCAGATGATTGTGTCAACGGAAGCACAGGCAGAGCCAGGAGGGGGGTCTGGGGCTCCTCCTTGGAATGAGGCAGAACAGGGATCTTCGTGGAGGCCCTACCGCAGAGCATGGGGTGACAGCTCCACGTGACCCCTGCCCTGTTTAGCTTGGGCTCTCGGTCTGGCCTGGATTGCATATTCTTCCAGCTGAGTTCCAGAAACTCAGAGGGTGGACTTTGGGGGGCGGCTTTTAGACCAGCCCTTGAGAACTTGGACAGGGGGTGGAGTGGCCTTTGTCCCGAGACATTGCAGCTGAGACACAATCCCCCCCAGACCCCCCAGGTGACCCCCACTATGGTCCCCATTCCTTCCCTCTGTTCCCTCCTCACCCCAGATGGAGTGGCTGTCACTGGTGTCGTGGTAACCGGCCATCGCATCCCCGTGTCCCCGCATCAATCTACCTTCTCCATCAGGTCGTGTCGCCACCCCCGCTCAGCCTTGTCTCTATAGGTGCTGGAGGTCCAGGCTCACCTTAGGTTCCGAGCTTGGGCAAGAAGTGGAGAAGCTGCCAGGGGCTGCGAGGAAGGGCGCCTTCGGCTTGGGCCCTGTGTGCTGCTGCGGTTTATAATTTTCTTTTTTCAGACGCACCGACGATTGTCACATCATCATTCACTGAGAAAGGTATCCTTTCTTCACCGACATGAACTGCTACCTTCGTCATGAGCTAACTTCCCACAAACGTGGTTCAGTCTCTGGTCTTTCAATGCTGACCAATGTGTCCATTTCTGCACAATGACAGTGCGTGAATTACGATGGTTTTTACAGCAAGCTCCTTCTCATGTCGTTGTAAAAATATGTCTCAATGGACCTTGCACATTTTCTCTTCCACGTGAAGTTTAGAATTAGCTGTTTCAAACCAACCCTTTT